ATGGTCATACAACTCAAAACCTTGTCACCAACACAGGTTCTGCCAACAAGTATTGACTTGTCCTGTCAGTGCCCCCTCACTGCCAGGATTGAGAAAACACTCAGACGCCGGCACCCATGATTCTTGCTATTTATCTGCTACTGCTCTCCTGCTTCTTCATACTTTGCCACCCAAAGTAAAAGTCAGTATGAATCATCTTTACTCAATGCCTTGGCTTGGAGTAAGCTGAACTGTGTAAGTGTCACCTGTGAGTTGTGTGTCAGTATAAAAGAGCTGCTTGCACACACTTCACTGGTGAGTGCTTATCAAATCCTGTAAACACAGGAGAGAAAGAATTCAAGGTTGCATGTTAAAACACAGGAGAGAAAGAATTCAAGGTTGCATGTTAAATTTTGGTGTAATGCAAGAGAATAAACAACTAGCAGCAATATCATATCATGTACTGTAAGGATTAATTAGTGCACTTTTCTTGAAAACACAGAGTTACTACTGTTAGTTTTAAGCCTCTTTCCATGTAGAATGGAAAGAGGCTTAAAACTAACAGTAGTAACTCTGTGTTTTCAAGAAAAGTAAGCGCACTAATTAATGTAAAAATGTAAAATGTAAAAACAGCTTTATGATAGAAGATAGACATACTGAGCTGCTAGCTGTATCTACTAGTTATATACTCATTAACAGCTGTATGACTTAATCACTCTTGTTGGAGTGCATAAACAACATTCATTTGTCTACTTTTATTTCATTCTTAAAATAATGGAAACCTGACTGCTTCTTGGAAAGTCATTGTTGCTGCCTAAAGTTTAATATTTTGCATTTGTCACTTGAATTTGCTAACAGAATGTTGATAGCAGTCATTCTGCTTGTAGCTTGCATTTGCACTTGATAACTTTTGACTCTTGAGGACAGATAATACGAGGACCTGTAGTAAAAAGTTACTAGGGCAGCATGCTGGAATTATATTTCCAAACTCTGAGACCCTATGCAAATGATGCTCATTTAAATATTTCAGTAGTCATTCATGTAAATGTAAAACTCTTGCAATGACCAGTCCAAATTTCCTCAATGTATGTAAACAATACAGTTAAGGGAAAAAAACAGTAAGGGAGTTGCCATGCAATAATTTCCAATATGCTAACAAAACTCTGAATTCCAAAATTCGTGTATTTCGTGTAATTCCTGTGAAAGTACAGTTGTCAGGCTTTGGGCCAGCTTAGGAATGTTCTCATGCAGACTTTCTTGGGGAGGGTAGGGGTGGTGAGGTAAGGAGAAGTAGGGGTTTTTCTGAGATCTTCATAAGATCTCCAAATGATCTCTAAAGCTCAAATGAAGTCTAGATATCACATAAGATGTGGAAGCTGTTTCAGAGCAGATGATCTTTATAAACTCAGTAATGCTTTCTAGCAACTAATTCCACATACTCACTGTATGTCCTTAATTATTGAATAGGTTTAGATGAAATGTTATTAGGAAGAAATTCCTTGCTTTGAGGGTGGTAATGCACTGGAACAGGTTGTCCAGAAAAATTGTGGATGTCCTATCAATGGAGTGTTCAAAGTCAGGTGTGATGGGGCTTTGAGCAGCCTGGTGTAGTGGAATGTAGGGGGATAGAATGTAAGTAAATGAAGTAGTATGGAATGTAATCTTACCCCCTAAAGAGTTGCAGCTGAGCCAATTATTAAGGATTAGGAGCAGGCCTGATTGTAACAGGCTGCAGCTGTAGCCAATCAGAAGAGTGTTATAAAAGAGTGCATTGGTGGGAACTGGAGTCAGTTGGCTACTGTGGGGACAAGGAGGAGTCAGTGCCTAGAGGAGCTGCCTACAAGAAACATCAAGGAGGTATGAAACTCTAGCAATATGGAACCCTTGCAATGTAATGGCAATAGAGCTCTTGTACTATAATGACAACAGTGGAAGGCGTCTCTGCCCATGACAGGGGGGTTGGAACTAAATTATTTTTAAGGTCCCTTCTAACTTGAACAATTTTATGATTCTAATTCAAACATATTTCAATATTTTTGCTTCTCTCCTTGCTCCCTTAAGTGAAACCTGATTGCCTTTATAACCATTGATTTCCCTTTTGTACTAACATGGAATACTGCCACTTACTCTTGATCAAGAAAATTTAGATATGTGGTGGTTTGGGTTTTTTTACTTCTATCTATATACCCTAATAACAGGGGACATAAACTCAACATGCATTAAACTCCCTGATTAATTCAACAGTATACTTTTTCAGTAACGTTTTTATCTGATTCTTCACATATTTCAATATTCTTCCTACCTTAGAAAACAAGTGCTCTTCTGAGCACTTAATGATAAACAGCTACTAAATTTTTTTCCACTCTAACCTTCAAATTCAATCTAATGTGCAGTAATAGAAATAAAAAGTTCAAATTATTAGTTTTAGTATTGCTTACCTTTTCAGTAGTAAATCTCCAGTTACTAATTGCCATACAGTCTAATAGCACTACAGCTTCTGTAGCAGCTATCAGTCTTCTCCCATTCTGAGGACTGCAAATAATGTGCCCTCTGTTGCTCATATCAGAATGTTACACTTTGGAACACCACATGTTTACCTATAGCAAATTAATTTTTATTTTAATGTGAATTTTGGGAGAAGCAGCATTATGCTGATCTGATGTCCCTTTCTATTCCTTCTGAAGTTTCTAATACGCGATTATCTAGTCTTCAACTTTGTATTCTCTGAGTTTGTCAGGGTAATTTTGAAGAAAAAGAGTTTTATTTTCTACCTTCCTGGTCATACTGCAAGAGATATGGCCCTTTTGTTAATGGTATAGTTGTGTAACAGCTATTTTTCTCCTTTCATCCAGTGGGATAACATTGTTTCTATACTTTGGTAAGGGGAAGGAATGGTCTTTTTGCAGCTTGCTCACTTTTTATCCTTTGTTAAAACATTAAAATATCTCCTTCCATTTATTGTTCCCATGCCTGGGAGCAGGTCTTCCACCCTACCATGAAACTCCTCCTACACTTTCTGTGGTGAGCTGCCAGCCCCACTGGTTTTCCTTTGACAACTCACCAAGGCAGCAGAATAGAAAAGCACGAAGTGCAGTGGGATCTGCAGAGCTGCACCAGCCACAGGGAGAGCAGCTGCTCACCTTCAGCTCCACCTACCTGCCCAGGGGCTTCAACACCTCCCAAAGGGCAGGGCAGCTGCAGCTGTGCCACATCAGCTGTGACTGCTTTTAGGTTAGACTGCCCTTGGAGGGTGAGACAACTCCTTCCCCAGGTAAAATGATGAGCTTTACAGAAGCTGGCTTCAGAATAGCTGTTAAAGAGAAAGACAAAAACCCCAAAAGACGAGCAAGAGAAAAACCCCAACCTTGTATGTTAGAGTGTACCACAGAGGTGATGTAAGAAAAGGCCCATTAGACAGTGAGGACAATAAAACAGCACAAAGTAACGTTTCATTTTATTTGATAAAAAGTTGCTTCAAAAATATTATTAATTATATACATTATTATATATGCTGTACATACAATTACATATACAAAATTTACATAATAGCAAACATCCTTCTGTTACATTTTATAGAAGTTAGTTAATTGCATGAGATAGAACTAACGTATTTCATACCTGCTTTATCTTGATTCTATCTACAAGGAATTGTTAGGTGAGAGATGAAAAAAGGATAGCAAATCACTTAATTTGTACCCCAGCCCACAAACAAGTCTTCTCTACAGTGCATTCTATTAGTGCCTTGCACTTCCCTTCAGCAGTATTTGGCTGATTAACCCTCTCTTCAGATTTTTTTTTTTAGTGTTCACCCTCATATTATTTCTAATTTATTTCTGTAACTCACATGCCCTGAAATCCTCCTCAAATCAAGCTAGATTTCTTCAATATAATGTAATTTCATTTTTCCAATCTGATTAGTTAGTTGCTTGTTTGCCATGTTTGAAATAGATTTAGCTAATAGTACTCTCAGTTCTGGGAAGGACACTTAAACAGGAAAGCTATAGTCCCAAGTGGTCTCTCCTTCCCCTGTCAGCACACTGGAAACCTGAAATCAGTCAGCAAGGGAAAAAAATCATAAAACCACAGAATATGCTGAGTTGGAAAGGACCCATCAGGATCACTGAGTCCAGCTCCTGGCCCTGTGCAGGACACCCCAAGAGTCACCATGTGCCTGAAAGCATTGGCCAAACACTTCTTGAACTCTGCCAGGTTTGGTGCTGTGACCACTGCCCTGGGGAACCTTTCCACTCCTTCTCCTAAGGCTGTTATAAGGTTTGTGTGACTGCCAGCTGCTTCCTGGAAGAAGTGGTGTCAGATCCCAAGGGGAACTGCCCAGATACTGGGATTTTCCTGGTCCTTGTCCCATGAGGAATATTCTGCCTGCCCACCATTTCTCTAAGCAAGGGGTAACATACCAAAACACAGTGAGTAGAAGCTTCTGCTGAAGTGTCCTCTATTTCCCCACTGAAGGGACTAGGCACCCTTATCCTATGGACCTGATGGTCAGGGAAGAAGAAGGGAGTAAGGGCTGCCAAACCAGCAGAGTACCAGCAGCAGAATCCCTGTGAGAGAATGGCTTCCATAACTAAACACGCTCTCCTGGAGGACTCTTCCCAGAGCTACAAAGGAACATGGCTTCTTCCATTGCCTTTCCTACTTTGAGAGGTTAAAAAATAACTGCTTCTTTCCTATGGCTATTTTGAGAGTTGTAGTTTCATTGGCCTAAGAAAGTTATTTTGTTTTCCAAGTTAGCAGCAGCCCTAAATGGCTATTTCACTTCTTCCTCTATGCTCATGTGGCCCTGTGCTTTCTACTCCTGTGCTGGCCACAGTCTTCATTTCACTAGGAGATATTTCTATTTTCTCTCCATATCACTATATCTTTTTTGCATTATTATACAATAACTTTCTTTGATCAGTTAAGCAGTTTTCCCTCAGCTGTCAAGGTGAAAGCAAGGGGAATTATGGTTCCTCATATATATTCTTTTGGTAGTACTTTAAATAGTACTATTTCTATTTTTTTCTAACTAAGGGGACTCTACTTGTATTCTTCAGTACAAGTTTTAATTACTGCATAGCATGCATATATCTTATAACATCTTAAATTCAAATATATTAATATGCCTTCAATTTTTTTCTAATCTATGGGATTTTCATTTGTTTGAGAAAAAAGTTCTCAGGCTTCTATCTCTGTCCACTGTTGGACGCTACCATATATCTAGTTCAATTTAGATATTATTTCTTTTTTTATTTTATACTGCTTCTTAATCTCTGTTGAGCACATGAGCTGGAATGAATCACCTGTTATTCCTTGTCTGAATTCCTGAGATTCTGTGCACAACCCTGGTTGGGAGAGGGCGCTGGTGAGCTGCTGGCGAGTTGAGACTCCACCTTAGAAGAAGTGGGTTTGGGACACTCCTGCTGACCTTCTGGGGTGGGAGGTGGAGGAGTCAGGCAGCTGTCACTTTGCTGAAGTTGTGCATTAGCAGCTGGTGAATCATCATCCTGCTGGTCTTGTGTACAAGGAGGAACAGCCGAAGAGATGATGCCCTGAGGAGCAGCTGTTGAACCACTGTTGAGACATTTATAACTGAGTTTGAGATATTAACATTAAATGTGCGATTAGAACTGTTCTTAGCTTCCAAGCTGCAGAGATTGTTTATTAGCTAGTTAAATAGTTTTCTTCACTGTCACATTGCCCTTTTCCTTGTTTCACCTCAGTTTCATGCAACTGAGATGGAAATTTGTCTATCTCATTGGATATGTTTCCATATTTTTTTCTCTTGGATCATAATTCTACTCTGGGGAAAGGTGGAGGAAGTGAGTAAGGAAGAAATAGCAGCAAGGGAGGAAATAAAAGCTGCAACAACACCAGTTTTTAAAGTTAGTAACTTGTTTGGATAAATGGTTACTAAAGGTCCTGCTCAACAGAATTTTCTCTACCCTTCTCTGCACTTCATTGCTGGAAGGTAGATTGAAGGAGTAGCAGTGAGATTATGAGTAAATTCTAAATTGTCTTAATTTTCTTACTGAGAATGTGTGTCATCTGAGTTAATGGAGTCACCAAATTATCTTGATTACTTAGATGTTGCTTAACTGCTTTGACAGTGAGGGAATGCTTAACAGATGTAAAAAAAATTCATTATGAATGCATCAGTTCAAAAGACTATTCAGGCAATATCTGAATTGGTCACAATGGATGTTGGATTGGATTTTACATAAGCACTGATCAATAACAGACATAAAGGCATTTTAAAAATATTGAAAGGGCATTTTTAAAATATTGGGTTTAAGTTGGAAGGTCCATAGGCAATATTAAATAACAACCCAGAATTGTTTTAGTATAGTCAAGGTCTACCTATCAAGGCTTCAGGAATACTGTGTACATTAGAAGAGTCTGGAATTAGCAAAATGTATGGATCCACCTGATGAAGATTTAAAATATTTAAGATTTTAATACTTTCAAAGAAGACAAAATCTGTGGTTTTGTGCTGTTATTTCTCCTATCTGTGTTAAGGACAAGGAAAAACACTGCAGTGAATCATTGCATACTGTATATTACAAATACACATGAGAAAAGCATTAACATAGTAAACTTTATTTTTGCCAGGCTGGTGCATTTATTTATTGTTTCCAGATGGAAAAACCTGTGTATGTGGATTTTCCTAACAGATATTCTGTAAGTATTTCTCAAATAATAATTCACAGACCACTGGTGGTCCATGGAGTACTACCAGGTGGCTTAGTAACAAATTTTAGAAGCAAACACTTTTTCAAACACTTATAACATAGACAAATATCTTGGGGTGCTTCTTATTTGTTTTTATTGTTGTTGGGGGTTTTTTGTTTTGTTAGTTTTTTTTTTTTCTTATGAAGTGTCTTACAGTTGCAAATTTGGATTTTAAAAACATGCAGGAGGATAAATGAACCAGGAAGAAGAAAAATGTTACCTCAGTATAGAAAGTCTAAGTAAGGACAAATCTCTTTTCCCTTTCACCCTATTTAATATCTTGTCCTGTTCCTTGCTCATTTCTTATCGGGTTCTTGAGGAGAGGCTGTGGCAGCTGAGCCTGTTTAGGCTCAAGAAGGCTCAAGCTGATCTTATCTGTGTGCACTGCTGTCTGATGGGAGAGTGTAAAGAAGATGGAAGCTCATCTCAGAGGGGCCCAGTGGCAGAACCAGAGGCAATGGGCAGAAATGGAAGCACAGGAGGTCCTGTGGGAACATCAGCAGGACCAGAGGCAGAAATGGAAGCACAGGGAACATCAGCCAACACTGTGAGGGTGGTGGAGCAGGGGCGCAGGGTGCCTGGAGAGGTGGGGGAGTCTCCACCTTTGCAGATGCCCAACCAAACTGGGCATGGCTCTGAGCAAGCTGGGCTGGGTGACCCCGCTTGCAGCAGCAGGGGCTGGACCAGCCAGCCTACAGAGGAGCCTTCCAGCTCCAGCCTTCTCTGGTATGTGCATTTGGTGTATGTGGAAACAGTACTGTGCCAATAGCTGACTTCACTGTAGCCATGAGTTTGGTAATTTTGTATCACTTTCACTCACAAGGCAAAAATGCCCCTAATAGGTAAGATGTTATTTGATAATTCCTCTGACCCAATAATTTAGACTCTTTTGGCAGTAAAGGATTGCCAGTTTAGCTTGCCTACAGTACTCTTATAAATAGACACCAAAGAGGTGTGATTTTCCCTATATTCACTTGTGGGTTAATTGGGGTACAACAGGTGACATGAAAATGGAATTGACTTGTCCATGGTGAGCCAGAGAATAATAAGAAATGTAAATAATGTCAAATCTAAAATAGACATATTCAGCAAAGCAACTCCATGAGAAAAGCTCTGTTTTCTCTACCTGTAATTTAATAGTCTTGTGCTGCTTTGTCTGGCACCAATAACTATTTTTGTGCAGTAATGTTAAGCTGGACTACTTCTGTATTATGTACTTTTTGTACAAGGTTATGGAACTATTTACAGGCTTGGTAGTGCACATACCAAGTAGGGAAATATGTATTGTTATTTGAATTTTAAGACTGCTTTTAGATTTAATTACCATGAAGTAATATGCAGAATTACACAGTGCAGGCATTTTTTTAATGTTACTTACCAAAAAGTATGTTTCTGAAAAGCACCTGAGTTAAGGTCTTTGCTTAAAATTGGCTTCTTGGTGCAATTGTTCAGTTTTTGTCCCATCATTCGCCTAATTAAAGCATCATCTGTGTTTGGAAACAACTGTTTTGTGATTCCTGCAAAATAAAGAGATGATAATACAGTTTTATATATATGGACCCTCCAAATAAGAGAAAAAGAAATGTGTGATATAAAATATATTTCTTGCATCTTTTCAAGTCCCAGCCACTTCAGCTTCCACTCTAGTTACTTCACAATCTTTACAAAGTCCTTCATAGATTTTACACACCTCCTTTTTTTCTTTGTGCCTTCCATATTGCTGCCTGCTCTTGGTAGACTGAAAAGGAACTCCAGGGCCACAAGGGCTTCTTTAGTGAGTGATTTGTGCTTGCTAATCATTTGTCCTTATGTTCTGTCCTTGATTAGAGTCCTTTTCCCATCCTCATCAGTCCTTGTGACTCTGAATCTTTTTTTTTTTTCTCATTAGTTTTCATTTGCAGGTGATGTCACTTTTTCTAAAAATTTCCCTCCTGTTTTGCCTGGCTACATTTTTTGAATGCAATAATAAGAGGATTCAACATGAGGAATGTGATTCTTGCTCCCTTCTTTTCCTTCATCTTCCCTCCCCTTGATTTCCCTGCCCTTTAATTTAATTTTATTTTGAAGTCCCACAATTTCCATCTTCTTTATATAATCTGATTCACTAACTCATTTTCTACAGTCCTAGAACTCCCAAGCTTCCTTATAATTTTTCTTTTTCTCTTATATAATGTTGACACTTTTCTGTTTAAATTTCAGAGTATTCTCCTCTACCTTAACAAAGTTCTTTGATTTCTTTATAAGCTTTGTCACTGAATTCTCCACAACATGCTGTATTCCATTCTCTGATTCCCTTTTCAGTTTTTGCCTAGACCCTAGTAGGATTTAGAATCATTAAGGTTGAATAAAACCGTTATGATTGAGTCCAACCATTTTTCTCATCCTATTAAATATTTTTCATTTTTCTTAAATGTTATTCCAAAACTGTCTCATCTTACTGCCTCTAAATATATTTTTACCATCCTACACGCTCTTTCCTTTTATCTCTCTTGACTTTGGGCTTTTTTTTTCTAACAAGGTTCTTAAAAAAAGGTTTTTGCAACTGATAATTTTTGAAACTGCTGGCTAACTTCAGCAAAACTGTACTAAGGTACAGGAACTGGAGCTAAACTGAGAAGGGAACCAAGAGAACTCCAAAGTCCAAGGGAATGAAAATGGGGGAGGAATTATAGTACAGTAATTAAGGCTATATTGCTCTAGTATTTACTTATAGGCATGAATCCAATTAAAATTTGGCTTCATATGCTCACAAAATTCTGTTTTCTTTAAAGCTAATACTTACATCTGAAATTATTTTCTGTCCTATTCACCAAATATTTTCTGCTGTAAACCTCAGCATAAATCAAATTTTGTTTGCTTCTCTGACCACTATTTCTGTCTTCTATACAGTCTCATTTTGCCTCTAGCTCTATTTAAAATGTCAGAATTCATAACATTCACTGAACTTCAGAACACAGCAGACATAATTTAAAATTGCATCCGAGTGTGTCCTCTTTTTGCCTTCCCTTATCTGTTATCATCGTGCTCCAAGTTTGACTGTTGCAGGTTAACCCTGCAAGGGCTAAAACAATTTACAGTATCACTGTTCCTGAGCAGTCACCTGGATAAAACCCACAGAATTCACACAATAGAAATACTACTACATAGCATTTCAGTGGCAGTATTTTTAACAGATGGTTTAAAAAAGCATGTAGCTGAAGAAGGAAAGAGGAAGTAGCTCATCACCTGAGCAGAGCAGCTGCTAAGCACGACAGCCCCTCCCTCCAAGAAAGCCCCCTGTCAAGTCAGACACATTGAGTAAGGTTAACAAGTCATCACCTATGATTTCCTGAACTTCATTCTGATTCATAGCTGGTTTTGCTGCTTTATCCTTTGAAGAGGAGGACTTTGCACCTGTCAGGCTGTGTGTAGCCATGTATTCATGTGTATAAAGTGCTTGCATCAAGTCATTTATAAATTTTTGAGGTTTGCTCTTGTTACAAAGTGCAATCTGCCACTTTTCGATCTTGAACTGGAAAACAAAATTGGTCATAGGCATAATTACTGCAGTTCTCTAGAAATATACACTATTATCACTGAAATATATTTTTCATTTTCTATTTCTAAACCACAATTTCAAAAGCAATCTCTACAAACAGTGTGCTTGAGATAACTGCTCAGCATTTGGGACTATACACACAGCTTGATTATTTTCCAGGAGGAAGTGTGGGGCAGACTAAGCACCCCATGCAAACCCTTCACCATCCTCATTACTCACTAGTGGAGACAGGACACATTCAGACACAGCAAAATCCTTCTGCTTGCTCCTCATGCAGGCTGGCTGTGGTCCAGTTCTGGCATGGTTTCTGTACTGCCTTGGTAGCATGGCACTGTGCCCAAGCAAATATTCCTGCCTGTGAGCAGACATACCCCAAGAACTGTGACATCTGGTCCTGGGCTTTGAGAGTGGCTTCTGCACGCAGCAGTGGTACAGCCAAAGAGTTTGAACTCTCCTAATAGGCAACTCTGAGCTACCTCGATGAAGTAAAGCAGGCTGGTCAGAAAATTAGGTCTTTTTATTTCTTTGAAGATGTTAGGTCAAATTTTGTGGTTTCCAATATGCAGTCAAAACACACCACAATAATTCTTAACGGACTTCTTTGGATTTTAGCACTCCATGACAACACACAGGAATGATTTGCATGTATTAGCATGACCCAATGCATGTTTATGTAAATTGTGAATGCTAATTATTCTTTAAATTGTGAATGCTAATTATTCTTTTCGTTGTGCCTTCGTTTTTTTCATGTACAGCCTCTCTGCCTTAGATTTCTCAATCATGTTCTGTTATAATTGCAGAGAATAAAGGAACTTCCTTACTCAGTATCTCTGTATACATGTATTTCTACTTAACTGCTAGCCAGTGTCTGGAACAGGAGAAGAAGCAGCTGCCAATTACAAATTAACAGTTTGAACAGACTGCTGTTATTCATCTCAGATTATCTTGGAAATACTATTATTCCCCTTTGGCATCCAAACAATTAGGCTGGAAGTTATCCCCGGATATTGGCATTTTCTTCATGTATCCACATTCTGCTCTTAGCTACAGATATGCAAGAACACTGAAATTAAAGTGAATTTCAAAGTGTACAGGACGCTGAATAAGAGCTAATGCTTCTCATGGAAAGAGCATTCTGCACAAAAGGAGCTCATAAGTTTTGTTATCAATGCAATGATGATAAATTATTTTACAGATAATTATTTTCTATATTATGCTATAGCAGTAAACTTTACACAGTATCAAGTTTCATGCCTGAAATTGCCTTTTAACTGACCTGTTTTTCAGTCTGTTGCTCCTCATCTTCCACATTCAGAGTTATTGGTGAGCTGGAGTTACTATGCATAGCTGCATAGGAATCTGCTAATGGATTGTGAGATGCCTTCCAAACAGCATGTGGATGCAGACTGGACGTGGATGATGTCACTCCCCCTTTGAGCAGCGCTTCAGCCATCCCTACCAGTTCCTCAAAGTGAGTGACTGCCTGTGGCAACACTGAAATCACATGAAAAGTGAGGGGTAAAACAGTAATGGAGGCTTTCAGACTCCAATTACATAAGCAGGGATATTTTTGCAATTAGATTCCTGTCACATAATGCAAAAGACATTTCAATATACTTCTTTCCTCCTCTCTCAAATGCTTTCCTACCATTCTGCTGTCCCCACCCATGAAGATCTGGGCTCAGTTTCTAGAATAGATCAGTTCAGTGCAAGGCTAAGAGGAATTATTAGTTTATACCCATCCTGGCACAAAACAGACTATTTCTCTTTTTTCTTTGCACAATCTCAGAATCTCTACAAGTCCATAAAGCTATTGAATATGGGCTAAGTGATGTTTGTTTTTTCTTTTTTACCTTCAAAGAAGTTACACAGACTTCAGAAGCTTTTTCTTTTTTTTTTTTTTCAACTCTAGAGACTATGTTTCAAATAACCTTTTCTCAAAGTAATATTTTCAAATATAAGCTTTTATTGCATTCATTAAGAAGAATCAATGTAAAGCAAAAAGGAAGCAAGAGATAACATATCAGCAAGATACAGAATCACTAAATTAAACAAAGTACTGTAAAAGACTAAGATAATTGCTTGGGATGCAAGGTAAATTTATGTGTGAGAAAAGTTGTCAGACACAAATAAAATGTTTACAAATAATATTTAAAAAGGTGGAGATGAATGATTCAAACCAAGATGAAATGCAATCAGGTGGGAAATGAAAATGATAAACAGTTGCAAAATCATCTGACAATAAACAGATACCACCACATTGTCTAGGGATGGTATGGCGTAGCTGGCACAGGAGGGAGTAAATCCTCTTTAAACCTTATTCATTCACTAGTGGTTTGAAATTTTGGATTCAGTTTTGGTTACATTAGAGTAGGGGACAGGGACAAGCCAGAGGCACTTCAGAGATGATCACTAAGAGATGAAGGGCTCATTTACAGAGGAACAAGATTTTCCATCTTTAATTTAGTGCATCTGAAACTAACTCAGGTTATCAGTAATGAGGAATCACCAAAGTAGTTAGGAATTCATTAATTTCAGAATAAATGAAATATCAATTGATCAAGAAAGACTGCCAGTAAATAAGGGTAGCTGGACTGGTCAAATACTGAAGTATTTGAGCTTAGCCTGTGGTTACACAGCATACAGAAAGGTTCTCCTGGGAACAACTGGCAGGATTTAGACACATTTTTCATTTCTAACTCTATGATTGCATGGCCTCTGTGTAAGTCAGTAAGTGCTGCTGGAATTAAATGTTGCCATGTATCACAGACTGTGATGCTAATGGTAGGCCTTGATCATGTCAGGTGCTTGAGCATCCATAATTCCCATCCAAATGGCCTCTTATAAATCAAGCTTTTCCTGACCTTCAGGCTTTCCTCTTCATCAAAATACTCCCAACTTTACCTTGAAGCATCACCAGGGACTGCCTTAGGCGGCAGTTTTCTCTCATGGTATCTGTCAGCTTCCTCTTGAGACTTTTAATTTTGGCACATAGTTCTACCTTGGAGAGTTGAAATAAAGGCTCTTCATCATCACTGCTACTTTCACTATATAGAAAGTTGCTTCCTGAATATGGTTCTCTCTGAAAAAAACCCCAAACAACTGTGATATCTAGAGCAACAACATAAAATCAAAGCATCAAAACCAACATTAAAATATCTGGCTAAATCAAAAAATTCTCTTGTATAAACAGACTCAATGCATTTTAATAAAAGCTTTTACAAAACATAGATATTAGTATTTTAGTTGAAATTTAAAATGAAATGTCAGTTTAATATGTAACTGTTAGGTACCTTTGTCTCTGTTCTCTATTCACCAGTTTTCCAAAGCAGCATCTTTCAGAACTGTTAACTTCACTATAGCAAAAATCCTATGCCTCCCTCAAAAATACCTTTCAGACTGCTTTTGCTTGATACATTGCTGAAAATGGATGTTTACCTGTTTGTTAATTAAAGATGTTTCAAGTTGACTCAGGATGTTGGCAGGAGCAGATGCCTGCAATGATTTCTTTCTTTTTATATGTTTCATCATCTTCCCCTGTAAAAAGTGCATAACAGTGCCTTTGCATTCCTATAGAGCCTTTCATAACAGTATTTCATAATATACCATAAGTTTTTATTCACTGTGCACTTGACATTCTTGGTTAGTAGTTTTAAAAAATATATCTGTAACTTTGTTAACTTTTATATTTTCCTTGCCTATATTTTGTCACTGCAGATCTCAGCACAAGGCACACCTCAGAAAACCTGCTCCCTTCCCTTTTTTAAGCAGTAGTCAGATTTCTGTCTTACAGAGCATCAAAGCCTTGAATAGCACTCATCTCTTGACACAGAAAAGGACAAAATCCATTGGCCTAAGTAATTACTCTGACAGGTTATTGTGCTGAGGTACCACGTGAAGGCTGCCTGTATTCCTACCTTTACCATCCTTTGTGTGTTATATGATGAAGAATCAAGAGTAACAGTCTATTTCATTCCTTTATGGACCTAACAATATAAGGCACATAAAGACACAAACTCACCTTTTCTTTATCCAGGTCACTGTCCTCACTTTCTGAGAATATCATTTCTATCCTCTTCCTCTTGCCTTTTCCAAGGACTTGTATTTTTGTAATTTCATCTGCTCGTAATATCTTTTGCATCATTTCCACCAGCTCTTGGGGGTCATCTGAAGTGATGGAAAGGAAGAAGGCCAAAGCACAGACAATGAGGCAACTATACCTTAAGAGCAGGTTTCCTATCAGACAAATGTTCTGGAGCTGCACTCACCACTCATGTACACAACTTTCACCAGGTGCTTTTCTGTCTTTCTTTCTCCCACAGGCCAGTTTACTAGTACGTGCTCATTAGGTTTCAGAAGCCTTTCTAGTTCATTGTCATCACAGGGAAGGTCCTGGATCCATGAAGTCTCTCCGATTTGCAGTGAATTATCATTTACAAAATCAAACAGTGTGAATTTTTTCATTGTTAAATGGCTTTCTTGTCACACAGACACTTCCTGAAGGACAACATAGGAAAAACAGTAGTTACTGTAGCATGCCACAGGGATGTTACAAGAACCCTATGAAAAGCCCCAAATAACCCTCCTTTTGCTGGATATTGGTAATATTTCCTACAAATACCCTAAGGAAGTGAAAACTATCCAGGCAGTGAGTTGTATCCCACCTGAAAGATGTGAGATGGTCTGTTTAACACCTGTATGTCAGACATTTTCCTCCAAAACTATGCAGAGAAAACAGCTTTCACTCACAGAGTCCTGGCTCCCATATTACTTCTATGTTCAATCTGGCTGGGATCTCTGCTGATACAACATTTGTCTCAATAAAATTTTTAGTTCAGCTTCTGACTAAAAGATACAGGTGTGATAGAACCTTTCCCTAGAATGGAGGAAAGTGCTAGCTATTCATGCTTTTAAGTGCAATGCATTGTTATCATTTCATGGTCAGGAAGACAATTGCAGCCACAGAAAACCAACCCAGAACTACCCAGGACAACTGAGTGGGTGAGGTATGACACATCCTGGCAGTGGAAAACTTGATGCACAAAAGAAGTGACAGGCTAAGGACTGGAAGAGAGCTGGACTGCTTCATGAGGAATAACAGCAACAAGGAAAACTCAACCCCAAATATACAGTTAAATCATTTGCCTCATAACACAATGCTTTTAAAGCAATGTGCTGTTCTGGGTTTTTTAAAGCACTGGATTTCTCTACCAGGAGAATGAAACAAGTTGTACTTTGAGCTTTATTTTCCCAATTAGGATGATAACTTTCATTAAAGTATAAATTCTACTGGAAAGGTAACCACTTCTTTTAAGTTCTACCATTATACTCAGAGAAGATGTTTTCTACTTTAAAATCTGAAAAAAAATCTGATTTTCAAACCTGAATCTTCTTTCCAGCAAACATATGGTCAATTCATAAAGGTGAAATACTTTCACAGAGCTGAAAACTCATGAATTCCTAGATGTGACAATGTGATTTGCGATTGACTTGGCCTCAATCAGTCAGAAGCAAATTTAGTGCCTCATGAAGAGGCTGTCAAAAAGGTAACTCAGAGCTAGAAAAGGAGAATTCTATGCCTCAACAGAGCTGGCTTTCCATACAGGGGTGAACTTGTTAATTTGCAAAAGACAGCTGCAGTCTCATCAACATATTTACTGATACAATGGGGCAAGCAGTATAGATAAGAAATCATCATTAAAAGGAGTATTAAACCAAACTTCTATGCAGAATATGCTTAGTGTCATAGTAGTAGGATTGTTAAGTATTGCAAGAAGAAGAAAGAAGACTGTGTTTGCAAGAATTGACATTATTTTTCTTTAAAGATCAGAAAACATCCACCCCATGCAAATTCTGGAAGAGGAAGCAGCCTGAATATCTCTGCCCAGCATGACTCATTAGAGACCTCATTCTGCCACTGATCCCTGCTGGATGGATCCTCATACCACAGTCAGGGATTATTAAGTGAATTAACATATAGACAAAACAGAATCCAAAGGAACAAAAGTTCCAGCACTGACCTCACTATGGACAGGTAAGGTCCAAACTGGAACTGTGTGTTTGTCTGAACAACAAAATACCAGATTTGAAACAGGTGGAGTATGCAATCAGTTGGGCATCAGTATTCTTCCTCCTTTCTCAAAATGCTTTTGAATATATACTTCACTCAGCTTAACATTTCTCATCTGGCTCAAAGATGCTACTTCTGCCTCTGACCAACCCAGCACAGCAATCTCCACCACCCAGTTCTTTGATTCTCAAATGAAGTACTTTGATATTTCCCCCCTTGGCCTTGGCAGTTGTGAGCTATTCTTTACCCTCCTAAAAGCCCACAAAAGAGCCACAGAATTGCAGCAGAGTTAGAGCTGCCAGTGTGCTAAGTCTAATAACTGATTGATTGGCTTCTATATTTTTTTAATGTTTCCCTGCAGTCCTCTAACAGTTTGTCTTTTGTCTCTTCATTTTGTATTAAGACAAATATTCTCTGAACCATGGGACATTCTTGTGGTCTGAACTTGTACAGGGTTAGTAAGCCAGCCCAGGGTTTCCAGAGGTACATGGATACACAGGCTCTTCACAGCATGCAGGGCAAGTGGTGATTCCCCACAGCACCACAGCTAGTCACATACACACTGTGCCAATGCTGTGCACATCAGTACCAAATCCAACAGCTTTTGGAAGGTATCAGACCTGCCTACATTTTTAAACAGCTTAAGGAAGCGAATGCAAATGTGGATTTCTGGATGTTCAGAATCCATGAAAGCAGCCTGGTGCCACTGTGAAGCACATGGACAACAAAATATCTCACACAGTCTTTATACCAGGCACCTGGATGCATGAAAATACATCTGGCCTTTTTAAGCTAAGGACAATTTTTACCATGGTCATGGCAGGACATGGAGCTCAGCATTTTATCTACATTTTATATAAAATTCTTCTGAGCTGACAAGATTCTTGCCTGCAGTCAGAGTGTGTTCTAACAGCTAACCAATTTCACTAAGGGCCTTTACAGCTGCCACATTCTCTCAGCATGCTGAGAGAAGGAATATCCTGTTGTTTATAAAGGGACCAAGGCACAAAAGCAGTTGAGGGGCAGCAAGAGCAACTGGCCAGGCCCCCTTTTCTCTGCTGCAGCTCTACTGGACAATAACCCAACTCCTTATGTTATGGGTAAAATGATGAAATCATTACATAGCCAAATGTGAATCGTTACATTGGAACAGAGTGTAGTAGTTGGTTGCAAGTATTTTTATGTTATGGAGCAATGGCTTCAGCTCCTGCAATAGACATTAATCAAACTATGTCTTTTCACAGAATTTATTGTGACAATCCATGGGCCCAGGGGATAACACCTAACTGTCTGCTGGCATCACCTCTAGCAGTGATTAAAGGGAATGGAAAGGTAGAACAAAATGTCACTAATAAGGGATAGGAATAGTAAAACATTTCACTTTCTGGAAGAGAAGTCCTACAGTGTTTTCTCACTCTGACCTCCCACAGGAGTCAATGTGAACCTTGTCCAAGGACTGCTGGAGATGCTTCCCTCTAAAATCTTATTTGCCGAAACAAATCAAAGGCAAATTATAATGTATCATCAGAAAACAAAATAAGTTGGGAACTGGGATTAATGTTACCAAAATTTTACTGCCTTAAAAGGGAGAGGTTGTCTAGCCACATTTGGCTCAGTCACTGCAGAAAGGGAGGTGATTCATCTCACCCTATGACACGTGTCTAAAAGACAGCAGATGACTTACTGTCTGGGAGAGCCTATTTCTCTCCACCAACTACTCAGTGACCATAAAGTTGGTGTGTCTCCTTATAGAAGCTGGCCTGGTCCAACCCATCTTGTATTACCTTTTTATGGTTTTGAACATATTTTGAGTAGTAGGATAGATTCCAGTAGACCAGCAGAAGTTATAGAGAGCTGAAAGGATATCATAAGAAATCTATTAAAATGTATCTGGTTCTCTGTTCTAAATCTTTCTAACATAGTTCTGCAAGTCATCAAGTAAGATTCTGACACTGAATGCTTTGTTCAGTGGTTCATTTGGAGGAAACATCATCATTCACAGGCATTACCCCGTGTGCAGCTACTAACCACAAAGATATTATATGACCTTTGAAAGCCACTTATGCTTTACAAGTTATTTAATTCTGCTACATGCTCCATTTGAAAACACTACTGATTTGAGTAATACTGAAATCCAAATTTACGATTTTTCACTATTCTAGGTCATTTGTAGAAGGGAAAAAAGAAAAAGGAAGGAGCCATATAATTTTAAAGTTCTGCAGAGGAAACATTAATTGGACTCTTAATTTTTACAAACATGTTAACACCTCACATACTGCACAAATGCTATTAATTTGTAATCATGATATTGTTACTAAGCAACACAAAAAGCCAAAACAAAACCAAACCAAAACCACACAAGAAACCCCAAAGCCACCAAAAATCCACAAAGGTCACTTAAAGACATGTCTCACCCTTTGTCTGACACAGTCTGTTCTGTTCAGCCAGACAACTGGCAGATGGCATGCTGAGATCATTATTTCTCTTTTCTTTCAGTAAACAGTGCAAAGTGTTACAAGTTTACAACATGAGACTGTGTACCCACTTGATGAGTCTGATTCTGCTGGCTTAAAACAGGGCTTTGACACTGGTTTCAGCAAATTGAGAAACCATGTACCACAGATCCATAATTATGGTAAATGCTCAGGCTTGCTACAGAGTTGCCTTAAGTTAGTGAAGAACTGATGAGACTGGTTGAGAAAAACATAAGATGTGCCCCTGCCTTTCTTAAACCTGGCTCGAGCAAGGTGTAAGGACTGAACGGTGCCTGGGGGAAGTGGAAGCCTCAGAGAAGCCCCAGAGAAAACCTGCACCTCTCTACCAGCCACTCTGCATAAGCAGCCTTGTTATAAATGTGGTCCTTCAAGGAGACAAAGATGTACTCAAAGACTTCCTAGTGAAGGTCAGACAGCTTTTACTGCCACCTCGGCAGGTGGAGGAGGACCAAAGTGTTTATTCTACCTTTTGTGTCAACTATAAATTCTGACTGAAAATAACCAAGACATTCATTAAGCCCTATTTGCATATTAACTTTTACAGCCTAAGAATGCAAATGAAGAGAAATGAAAACACACCTTACATGTATGATCATAATGCTCAAAACCCCACCTATGACATAAAGGAAGGGGGAGTTTGAGGCAAGGAAAGAAAAAAGGAGAGAGGGGGAAACACCTCTGCTTACTTGGGATTGGTTTATGGACTGTCCTCCTCCCCTGAAGGGATGCCTCTAGGTGAGCTTTGTGCTTTCAGTGCATTGTAAAGACCTGGGAATATTTTTATATTTCTATCCATATATCAGTAATAGAGCTCTGTTACTATCACCTGCTGTAGTGATACACTGTATTTAGTGCAATCCTATCACCAGCAATCCTGAACCTGCTTTCCTATTATTTCAGGAAACTGTATTTTTTGTGAAT